GTCTCAGTTAAAAACTGGGGTTTTGACAAACAGCTCCATCATAGTCCTCCTACAATTCAGTAACTTAAAACATTTAACTAAGTATAATTTACTTCACAGTCTGAATCACAGAACCGAAACACAGCATCTACAGTACGAGATCTAAGACGGGCGACATTGGTCAACAGAGATGCGTACTGAAAGTAGGAGGCCCCCTATTTTTCTAAGTTCCCAACAAGACATTTTATTTTACTGTATTGAATTTTTCATTTTGCATGCTGTTATGGATTGAATTGTGTCCCCCCAAAATATGTGTTGTAAATCCTAGCCTCTATGCCTGTGGTTATAATCTCATGAGGGAATGGGCTGGCTTTGTTATGTCACTGAGGCAGGATTAGTGTAGGGTGCGTCTTGAGTCACTCTCTTTTGAGATATAAAAGAGATTAAACAAGAAGCCAAAGAAAGAAGCAGAGATGGAGGAAGAGAGAAGCCAAGTCACATGAAGATGGCCCAGGAGCAGAAGCTCAGAAGAAACAAGGGCCTTCCCTGAGAGCTGACAGAAAGAGAACCTTCCCCTAGAGCTAGTGCCCTGAATTCAGACTTCTAGCATCCTAAACTGTGACAAAATAAGTTCCTGTTTGTTAAAGCCACCCACTTGTGGTATTTCTGTTACAGCGGCAATAGATAACTAAGACATATGCCATTAAACAATGCTATAGAAGTAACTCAGTACAGTCTGGGGCTGTTTCCAGACAGCTGAGTAAGAGCCTGAGCATTAACAGCTGTCAAATGAGTCTTCTGCGTGCCCCCTGCCCCCACTACTAGTCTTTGAAGGATTCAATCAGTGTAAAGTCAGAATGTCCAAGAAGCCCAGAGCAGGTAATATGACAAACGGATGTTGGTCTTAAGTGAGCCGACTAGCTATTAACACAAAACAGTCAGAAAAGATTTGTGATGCAAGCTGACTTCTGTCTAGACAGAGGGGGGAGTGTAAAACACATCAGACAGATACAACACAGTGGTGACAAGAAAAACCTGTTCCGGTTGCACAAATGCTTTGGGGGGTGGGGGATGTGCGATTTCCTTCTTTATCTAAATACCTAACCTCCAAAGGCGCTCTGTCTAGGTCCTGGTGAGCTTCTAACCTCCAAAGGGGCTTTGTCTAGGTACTGGTGAGCTTCCAACCTCCAAAGGGGCTCTAAGTACTGGTGAGTTTCCGCTTTATTTCTAGATGTGTAGAACATTTTGCACATGAATAAGAAAAGGAAGGAGGGTGAAGCAAAGAGCAAAAAGAGATTAAACAAGGAAGGAGGGAAAAGGAGAGGGAGGGAGGGAGGGAAGGACAGAGAGGGAGGAAGCAGGAGGAAAAGGGAAGAGAAGAAGGGAGAGAGAGGACGCGGAGGAGAGCCAGCCAGCCGGCTAGAGAACAGCGAGACTGAGTGAGTAAGTCAGAGGAAGGGAAGAGGTAGGAAGAGGGGGTAATAAAAGCTGAATGCTTAAATACTTTCCTGCATTTCAAAGGCTATTTATGTTTTTAGCATTTGGAAAACATCACTGACCTAGTCTTAGAAAATGTCTCTCTTGCCTCCTTGTCTGTTTTTCTCTTTTGCTGTTGACAGTGGCTAAAAAAACAGCTCTCGGGGAAGCCAGTTCCTGCATATATTCTATATGGCTGAATGCATCAGATAATCCCTAACAACTAGGAAAATAGTTTAATGGTCCATTAGATGTAAGTCAATCAGAGCACTTAAGGAAAATTAACTGGAGTCCAACATCACTTTTCCCCCTGACACAGAAACTTCCAGGTTACTGTAAGGAAAATGTTTGGCTACTGGTAACAGAATCATACCTAGTTTTGTCAGGCATGCCAAAACATTGCTTAAATACAAATCTGTTTGAACATTTGCTTCGTTCTGAAGTTCTTATACAACTCACATAAGCAGTCACTTGAAGAGTCATTCACGTGTTTAAAAGTTTTTTGTTTTTTTAAATATGATCATGGATTTTATTTAACTCTACGTGCCAACTGTAAATTTCCTGAAGCAGAATATTTTGTTGTTTCACCGTAAAAGAGAAAGCAGGAATTCTAGTAGTGTCTGGGTAAATATAATTGTAGAAGCATGATCAGAGATCGGGAAAACTGGCTGTGTTTTGTTTTAATACCACGTGACAATATACAAACATATATATCTATATGTCTGTACGCATATAGATATATATATTTTTTTCTGTACCAACTGATGTGCTTGAAATCTTTTTCTACCAAGAAATCCTTGTTTTTAGCAAATGCAATTATTGTGCCCGGAATGGAGGTATCTGTTTTCTTAAGTGCTTTCAGACTTGACTAACGGGGGAAATAAAAATAGGAAAACCTAGCCAACACAGAGAGGAGAAACTTTTTTATACAGGGCTAGGATTTATGAGTTAACAGGAAGATCTTCCATGTCTTGCTCTTTTCTTGATGATTTTGGCATCTTAAACCAAAAGGCATTTAAGTACATTCTGTTGTTGTTTGTTGCTAGGGTGCTGTCGAGTCAATTTTGACTCAGGGTGACCCCATGTGACTGAGTGGAACTACCTTCTAGGGTTTTCTAGGCTGTTGTCTTTCCAGAGGCAGATCGCCAGGCCTTTCTCCCGTGGTGCTGCTGGGTGGGTTCAAACTGCCAATCTTTCTGTTGGTTAGCAGCTGAACACTTAACCATTGCACCACCAGGGCTCCTTAAGTAAACTCTAGAGATCGGGTTGTTCTGTGAAACTGTATAGGGCTAATTTTATTAAGGTGTTCCCAATCAAAACTATATTCTAGACTCAAAAGAGTCACCATAAATGAGACCTGAGGGGTCCATGTGGTGTAAGGGGAGAAGGTGAGGCGGCGGGGAGGGGGAGACAGCAGGTCTTGCCATTCTCTTTCCTTCACCCAAATGTGTTCCTTCTTCGTCCGTATTCTGAGTGTTTTCAATTTTCAAACATGCATGTACTCCAAACCAAACTCTGCAGTCGCTGAGCAGTGTTTTGAATTTTCAGCTGATGGCTGGTTTATGATTTTCCGGCCCAAATCATGGACAACATTTAAAAAATCATCATCACCTATGAAGCTGATGACAAGGGATAACAATATGATAAAGAAAGAGTTCCGTGAATATGCCAGAATCCAAAACGCAACACCAAAAGCAAACTTAATCCATTCCGGCAGCAACGCTTTTACAATTTCTGGCCCAAGATTTTAGTTTTGTTTGTATAAAAAGCATCAAAAGACATATATTGTTTATGGATGTCTCTTCACATAATAAACTATTTCTGCTGATAAAAGAGCTACGTGGCTCCTACCTTCATACACCCATTGCCACTGAGATGATTCGGACTCCTGGGGACCCCATGTGTGTCAGAGCAGAACTGCACTCCATAAGGTTTTCAATGGCTGTGATTTTTTTGCAAGTAGATCACCAGGCCTTTTTCTGAGGCATCTCTAGGTGGATTTGAACTGTCAATCTTTTGGTTAGTAGCTGAGAGCTAAACTGTTGGCTTTACCTAGGGACTCTACCAGTTCATAACTCTATTCAAAATAGTAAATGCGAAAAATGTGCTCTAATTTCCTATTAAAAAACCAAAAACCAAACTCGTTGCCATCAAGTCGATTCCCACTCATAGTGACCCTCTAAGACAGAGCAGAACTGCTCCACATGGTTTCCAAGGAATGGCTGGTGGATTCAAACGGCCGACTTTCTGGTTAGCAGCCGAGCTCTTAACCACTGTGCTGCCAGGGCTCCAATCCCCTTCAGGGTTTCTGTATTAGATCACACAGTAGATTCGGTCTCAGAATTTGCACGGATCAGGGAGCTAACGTTCTGCAATCTTATGCAAAGACATACCACAGACAAAATACGAAGCTCTGTGTTTCCACAGTCTGGAAAGCGGCTACAGTGTTTGATGTGGTGACTAAACACATTAATGGGGCGACATGCTCTAGTTGTAACTCATGGCAAGAAAGCACCAGATCAATTCCAGTGGTTCCCTGAGGAGGCTGCTCAGCACGCCTTAAACTCTGGATCCTGACAGGATCATACTCTGCTTTTAAAGACCCAACACTCAGAAGGGAGAGATCCAGGAATTGACTGCAGCTATCTGACCTGGTGCCTTCCCCAGAGCACCTCCAAGTTCCCAAAGAAGGCACACAGCAAGGTCAGGCTCCTACGGGGCATTTGGCAGGATTTGCCTGATGCTGAAGCAGAAGCAAGGACAGCAGAAACAGGAAAATCATTTGTTTTTCTACCCTTTTGGCAAGAAATAAATGAAACCAGCAGCTTTACGAATGGGAAAAATACAAAAGAAGGTTGTCTCGAGGAGGACACACTATGGAATGCCTAGAATTCTTGCTTTCTTTCGGAACCCCGCTTTGGTCCACGAGGAGTCATAAATACGCAAGAAGTCTGAGGCGGGCGCACAGCTGGACCCTCGCTTCTGGATAACAGAGCGCTCTGGTCGGGTCAAATGACCTGGTAATTAAGAGAGATCCTGGGGCAAGATGACTTTCCTCATGCTTGTAGAAGAGTAAAAGTTTATGGCTCAGGGCACATAAATGAGAAATGCCTGGGGGTCAATTCTGCTGACATCTTTGGGTTGCTCTCATTAGAGACACATTTCTAAACTGGGAGTCTTGTGGTTAGTGGGTTTGGAAATATGCACCAGATTTTTCTTTTCTACTGGAATTTTGGAGGATGCTTTTTCATCATTAGCTTAGTTTGCTTTCTGAGTAGAAAAGAACATACTTTAAAAAGTCTTAAGTCCCCGAGCTTGACCTTCTTGTCTGAATGGAACTTCATGTTTTACTAATAAAGAAGTTGATGTAAAAAGCAGTGTACAGACCCCATGATAAAAAGATAATGTCTTTAAGGGGGTTTCACATTTCCAGGGAACTGCAAAAACATTGTTCTGCTTATGGCTTTGAAAGAGAAACAAAGAAGGATTGAAGCTCAAAAGATACATTACCAAAAAAAAAAAAAAGGAAAAGAAAAGATTCTCACCAGGTTCAGCTGTAGATCTCGGTTCTGTTTGCCACATGAAAAAAAAAAAAAATCAAAACAGAATTAGAATGAAGTTACATTAATAATAAATCTATCTATGCTTTTCTATTACCTGTGCAAGACAAACTCCATAATACAAAAGAGGTAGGTAAGGTGACAGTAAACCAAAAAAAAAAGCTGTCAAGTTGATTCCAACTAATGGTGATCCCATGTGAGCAAAGTAGAACTGTGCTCCATAGCGTTTTCAAGGCTGTGACCTTTTGGAAGCAGATTGCCAGGACTTTTCTGCAAGGTGCCTTTGGGTGGGTTCCAACCACCAACCTTTAGGTTAGTAGTCGGGCACTTAACCATTTACACCACCCAGGGACTCCTTAGGGGTTAAACCAAAAAAAAGAATCCACTGCTGTCGAGTCGATTCCGACTCACAGCCACCCTACAGGACAGAGTAGAACTGCCACATAGGGTTTCTAAGGAGTGGTTGGTGGATTCGAACTGCCGACCTTTTGGTTAGCAGCTGAGCTCTTAACCACTGTGCCACCTCAGGTGATAGTAGATACATTTATCTTTCTATTGATATAGAAACTCACATTCTAGTAACACTGCAAACAAAGAAGTTTTTAAAACTGCATCTCATGGATGGGCTATAGGAAGCTTGTGAACCTCTTAAAATTATTTGCAAAACTTTGAGTGAAAACATATATGTCCATTTTTTCCTGAGAAAAATATATAACTTTCACCGGAGTTTCAGAAGGGTCCACAAGCAAGCGTCACTGCTTTAATTGACTGACCCTGCAGAGTTGCAGGTCATCTGGTCTTACCACTCTTTGAAAATACAAACCAATTCATCTGAATGGCTAAGCCCACCTTGGTTTCCCTGAAGACAGAATAAATGGTGGGATTTGGGGTGTGGGCACCTCTCCTTACTTTTCTGTAGAATCCGGAAATCTGGAGAGTCTTGAATTTCACTTCCTTGCCGGAACCACTTGACCTGCAAAGGAGGTGCTCCTCGGACCCGGCATTCCAGAACCACCACCTGCCCTTCTGATGCTGTTATGTTTTGCAGTTCCTGAAATTCAACGAAAACGCTCCCAATCAGACTTTGGTGCATTCTTAAGCAATTTCACCAGACAGAATAAAAATTCTAAGCCTTTACAGACGAAAATGCAAAACTTGCATCATAAAATAGTTAACACTAACTCAGGTAAGGGTGTTGTTGTTAGGTGCATCCAGTTGGTGCCAACTCATAGCCACCCCATGTACAACAGAACGGAACACTGCGGGGTCCTGCACCGTCCTCACAATCCTTGTTATGTTTGAGCCCATTGTTGCAGACACTGTGTCAATCCATCTCGTTGTGGGTCTTCTTCTTTTTCGCTCACCCTCCAGGGACTGATCCCTCCTGATAACATATCCAAAGTACCTCTAAACACCTTTAAATCCATCTATCATCTGTTTTTTTTTAAAAATAATTTTCATAATCTCCATGTAATGAAATTAGTAAGGCTTATCATAAGCCTTGTAGAAATGTTTAGCTTGTATGCAAATTTGCATTGACCCTTTCACATTTATGAAATTCTAAGGTAACAGCTGCTACCTTTCTTTATCTGTATTTAAAAGTAAGCCAGTGGAATGCAAATCTCTTCTTAAAACACTTACACCCCACAGGGATGTAGATTCCAACGAAAAACTAGATAAGAAGAGAAAAAAGACATGCATTTGTTTTCACATATTCCAACCTTTTCATCTACTGCCGTCCCACCCTCTGCCCAGGTCTATGAAACCACGCCAGGCTTATGAAGCTGAAGGTTTTTGGTATTTTCTCATTTTGAGGTTCTGGGTAAAACACTAAAGTAAGCCACACCGCTCCCTCACTGCCCTTCATCTCCTCCTTCCTAGCTCCTTGCCTCTGACCCGACTCCATCAACGCCAGACCAATAAATGGTGTCATCCAACAGATTTGAAATTATTTTGGCTTTACAGATGCAATGAGGCAAAGCTTTTAAACTCATTATTAAATATCAGATCATTAAAAATAGCTTCCTTACATACATCCTCTCTATCCTCCTCCTCCGGCACTGACTAGCAACGGGCCTACTCGCACTTTTTGATTGTTATGTTGCTGACTAGGGAGTACTGGATACCATACAGGGCATGGAGAACTCCTAACATAATTAAAACGTGATAAAGTATTTCACCTATACATACAGCAAAACAAACAAAAATTCACATTAAGAAATGTTTTTGTTTGTTCTCTAATTTTCTAAGGAGTCAAATGGTATCCTTGGAAAAACAAATCATGTGGCAAATGGTCTGCACGATTGTGCTAAAAAACAAAAAGCCAAACCCAACCTGTAGGACGGAGAACTACCTCATAGGATTTCCAAGGAGCTGCTGGTGGATTCGAACTGTGGACCTCTGTGGTTAGCTGCTATAGCTCACCATAGCTCTCAACCACTGTGCCACCAGGCCTCCTGAGTGTGCTAAAACCCTATGGAAATCCCAAGTCTGTGACGCTGGCAGAAGAAGTATCAGTGTGAACTCTGAGAAGGCATTTGCTAAGAATTTTAGAAACTCTGGTGGCGTAGTGGTTAAGAGCTACGGCTGCTAACCAAAAGGTTGGCAGTTCAAATCCACCAGGTGCTCCCTGGAAACCCTATGGGCAGTACTACTCTGACCTACTATGAGGCAGAATCGACTCGACGGCAACGGGTTTGGTTTTTGGTTTTTTGGTAGTTAACAAGAATGCTTTTTGTTTTTTTAAGTGAAAAGGTTAAGATTATTAACTACTTTTGATTGCAATTGCATTCTTTACCCTTCTTCTTCTTTTTTTTTTTAAATATAGAAAAGCTCTGGTTTTAATTTCATATTTTTTTTACTTTGTGATTGGGTCCAGAGAAAAGCTAATTTAGTGAGTAACAGCAGGGTACGTGTCAATCATGGGGTCCAGCTTCTATGATTAATCTGTTAAACACCTCCAGGCTTGTCCAGGAAGCCATTCATGGCAGATTACAAATGGAACACAAATACTTTTCACTCTTGAGCTTTCAGGCACCCAAGGAGACTTTGATTTATTCCTAGGATTATGCATTTTGTTCAACATTGGAAAGTCAGAGATGTAGGAAATCAGCAGATGCCGAGGAACTGAAGCAGTCAAATTCCATACTTATGCCGGGATTACGATTTGGCTTCTCCTAGAGCAAACATTTTCATCTTGGCAAAAGTCACAGGCAAACATAGCAAGACACTAGGGGAACCCACAAGAACACAGTGAGGAGGCTGAGCGAGCCTGAGAGCCAACCTTTAGAGGCTGCACCTGGCACTCGGCATCGTCCACTCAGGCTAGGGTCTAGGACCCCAGGGTGGGACAGCTCTTGTCATTCACCAAATCCATCTGACATTGTGGTTCCTAGAGGGGTCTAACTATTTGGGAAGAAATGCCCCCCGTTGAGGGGAGTGGTGGTGATCTCCTGACCACAGATGCGTCCCGTCGGCCACAGTCCCGCAGTCCACACCAGCTCTGCTCCCTGAGCCAAGCCCACCCCTCTGCCAACTCTACCTCTGACCAGCTGTGAAACCTGGGGATCTCTTCCAGGTAATGTGAGGAAAGAGATGGAGGCATCCCCTGAACCAGCAAAGTCCACCTGCCACCCACGGCCACCACCATGCCCGAGAGAAAGGCCAAAGAAGATGCTAAGGGCAGCAAAGTTAAGGTCAGTGGGAGTCACAGAGAAGATGGGTAGGATTCCTTTCTAAACCTAGAAAAGCCTCTGCAAAGCAGGGAGAGGCTCTGCCAACGGGAGAACGGGGCCAGCAGGCGCGGAAGGAAACAACCCTGCAGCAGACACACGGGGCTCCCCAGTCAGCACACGGCAAAGGAGGGCGCTGGGAGCCCCAGAGAGCGTGCTCTGCGCTTCCCGTGAAGACCACTTGGAACTGTTTCTGTAAAGCTTTATAAAACTGCAGGGTTGTGTTTTACTTTTCTTTTTCTAAAGCTGTGTTGTTAACATACAGAAATGCTTCCTAGTTGTCTTTTGGGGAGGGGAGAAAAACACTAGTAGGATGTCTGTCTCAGGAACTGGGGGGACACAGGGTTTTGTGTCTAGTTTTAGAGGGTTCCTCTGGGAGCCCATGAGGAATTTCCTAACATTTACACACAGGAGACCCTGGTGGCAGAGAAGCCCTGTGGCGAAGGAAAGCAAGACTTCCTGTCCTCTTTTCCTTCCCTCATGCCACTTTATTTCCTTAAACCAAAGAGGCTCTAAAAACCGATTTGAACTGGACATTTTGGTTAGCAGCTGATCCCCAAAACAAACTGTGTTGTCTAACAATACATCAGGTAACACAGGGTTTCTGAAGATAATGTCAAATCACAAAGGTGCTTGTGAAAAGCTCTTAAACTACACGCTAAATGGAGGTGTCCATCCCCTCTGTAAATGTTTCCTTTTTAAAGCACCAAAGGAAGTCTTCCTTGGCTATCACTGTGATTTGCGGTTTTTGGTAGGGTCTTATATGCCTTTTGGAAACCCTGGTGGCACAGTGGTTAAGAGCTACGGCTGCTAACCACGAGGTCGGCAGTTCAAATCCACCAGCCGCTCCTTGGAAACTCTATTGGGGCAGTTCTACTTTGTCCCGTCGGGTCGCTATGTGTCGGAACGGACTCAATGGCAGTGGGCTTGGTTTTTGGGGTGTTTTGCACTCAATCACTCAGTTTCAAAGTTGTTGTCCACTATTATCATTTGTTGCCTACATCCTCCTGGAAATAACCTAAGCATTCCTGAAAAGATCTTTAATAAAGCTGGATACAAGCTGGCTTCGGAGAAAATAAAAATCACTCCCTCAGATGTTGTTCTCTACTGTCTTTCAAATTTCTCATAGGTTTGCTTTTCACATTTGTCTTCAGTTTTAGACTTGATTTTTGTGAAAGTGTAAGTTGCCATTTAGTATTTAGTATTTCTTCACGTCTTTGAAGAACGCCTCCATTTGCCACTGATTTGCAATGCCAGCTCTTTCACGCAGAGATGGGAGTGTCATTCGGGGCTCTATTCCGCTTCACTCGCCAATCTGACTTGTCTTACTCTTGTATCTCTCTTAATGGGTGCACGGTTAGGAAATGTTTTGATATCTCAGAGGACAAATCCCACCTCCTCCCTAAGATCCCCTTATTTTCCTTCTTTAGGAGAGCCTTAGCTATTCTTAGACATTTGTTCTTCCATACAACTGTAAGTTCTATATCAAACAACTAAATAAAAACAAGGAATCTGTTGAAATTTTGACCAGATTTGCCCTGAATTTATGTATTAATCTGGGGAATGGTGACTTCTTCACAGTGCCCTAGTCCACGAGATGGTATATCTCTCCATTTATTGAAACCAAACCAAACCCATTGCCATCGAGTTGATTCCGACTCGGAGCGACCCTACAGGACAGAGTAGAATTGCCCCATAGGACTTCCAAGGAGCAGCTGGTGGATTCCAACTGTCAACCTTTTGGTTAGCAGCCATAGCTCTTAACCACTATGCCACCCGGGATCCTCCATTTATTTGGGTCTTTAAAAATATTTTTCAATAAAATTTTACAATTTTCTCAAAAAGAAAAAGAGAGAGAAAGAGGAAATGCTATATGGAACCATTACTGAGTTGGGGATTTGACCAGTGCAATGCGTGCCCTTCAGCCTGGCAATGCAAATCACCCACTCAGGACAAATGGAAAATTAGTCTCTCTTTTTTTTTTTAAATGTCTATAAAACTTGCTGGATCTCCCAAGCAGTTTCCTACGCAGCCTTCTGTTACATTGTTTTCCACCCGTTCTGGCTTTCCCACTCTATTTTAAGCTCGTTCAGGCCACTGACCACGCAGGTCCTTCAGACGGTCATGGTCACACAGCCGAGGGAACCAAGATAATCAGCCTAACCTGCTCTTTTTCTTTTTTAAACCTGGTTGCACAAAGCCACATGTGCACGAAACTTAAGCAGCAAAGCAAATGCAGAGAATGAGACCGGCAGATGTCAGACCTTTGTAAAAATAGGAGGGAAGGAGGCAGAAGTCATTCCATCAGGTCGGCAAAGATGTGAAGTTGGGCTGTGAACCTAAAAAAGCAGAGACACATGGATCAAATTCTAAATCTATAAATGGCTGAAAAGATGGGCTAAAAAACTCTTTCATTATTCAGCTCGCTCCACTTGAATGAAACCCGTGAATGAAAGTATTTCCATCTATCATCTTGCTGGTCTACGCTTACAGTGCAGACGTTGTTCTACTTCCTTATCTCACATCTGTTACTCTTCTCTGTTGAAAAGGATATTCAAGGTAAAAGTTCCCTGGGTCCTCAGGGATCCGTGAGCTCTTAAATGCTATTGCCAAATGGATTTCTGTGTGTGGGACTTCCACAGGGATTTTTTTTAAAAGTTCTCCCAGACATTATATTTTCAAACGCAGTCTGGATTCATTGCATATAAAGTATAAGTTATTGGCAGTGGAAGGTAAAGTAAATGAACTGACATCGACCTACCTTAATTTTAACTTGCACTCTTTTCTGACTTAGGGAGTACAAGGAATGAGCCAAAAATACATATTATTTTTTCTTGATGTTCAAAACACAGAAGTGCCGAAACACTTACTGAATGGCACTCAACTCTGGGGAAACAGGAGGAGTTTGGACTAGTGAATGGAAAATATTGGTGTATAATCATTTATTTTCAAATAACCTGGATTTACTAACTTTCATATAGTGTTTGTCTTTATCCCAAGATGATGGTGGTCTGATATTATGGGTCTAAGCATGCAACACATGGGACAGTGGTGGTTCAGAGGTAGAATTCTCGCCTTTCATGCGGGAGACCCAGGTTCGATTCCCAGCTAATGTAACTCATGTGCGGCCACCGCTCGTCTTTCAGAGGAGGCTTGTGTGGTGCTATGATGTTGAGCAGGTTTCAGCAGAGCTTCCAGGCTAAGATGGACTAGGGAGAAAGGCCTGGGGATCTACTTTCAAAAATCAGCCAATGAAAACCTTATGGGTCACAACGGTCTGATCCCCAGTTGATCATGGGGATGGCTCAGGACCAGGGAATGCTTCATTCCACTGTGCATGGGGTTGCCATGAGTTGGGGGGCCGACCTGAGGGTATTCTTTTGTGGTTGCTTTTGCTAGGACGTCATCGAGAACGTTCGCCGAGTTGTGGAGATGCTAGCGTGGTAGTGGACCTTATCCATTACCCTTGTAGGATTTTTTGTCGGATTGTGATTCAGGAGGTCTAGGCCTCACTTTTCACTACCTATTAATGATCCTATCGGACAGAGCAGAACTGCCCCATAGGGCTTCCAAGGAGTGGCTGGTGGATTCGAACTGCCGACTTTTGGTTAGCAGCTAAGCTCTTTAACCACTGCACCACCAGGGTCCCCCAGAGAATATAGCAAACCCTTTTGTAGCATTTACTCTGTGCTAGGCACTGTTTTAAGTGTTGTATGAATACTGCCTCACTGAGTCCTCGTGACAACGCTGTGAGATAGGTGGCATTGTCATCTTCATTTTACAGACGAAGTCTAGGCGCACACAGGCCCCATAGGGAGTACCTGGCGGAGCTGGGATTCAAGCCCAGGCCATCTGGCTCTGGAGCTTTAAGCTTTATGCCACAGTGCCTACGTTTCTCTGAGCCCCTCATTCTTCCAGCTATCAGACTGGGACATATTAGCTTCTGCTCATTGTTTCTGTAGAATTTACCTCATTTGAAAGTGTACTGTTTACATCTCTATGCTATTTACATATGGAGATGCATGTGTATCTTTCCGTACTTGGACTCCTATAGTACACTGTAATATATCCTGCTATATCTAAGAAACATTTCATGGGTGTATTCCCTGCGTCCCATACTAAATTATCAACTGTTCGGGGATGGGGCGGAGGACTTGTTTTTTTTTTAATTTCTTGCTTTGAAATAGCTAGTACAATACTAAGCATTCAATAAGTACTTATCATTTTTTATATCTTAAACACCAACGCTCCACTGACATCCATTAATCAAAAACGCTGCTATAAATTTCACTCTGGTTTAGAGGTTTAAAGGAAACGTCTGCCATATAATCCATTGCCAAGCCAAGCAACTTACATTGATTGATTCTTTTCTAGTTCATGAACCCAAACGTCTTTTCTCCACTGTTTGCATATTCCCCATATCACAGAGTATGTATTGCAGTCTCTCGGTGGATAATAAAGGCCGACAGAACTCAGGATTACCATCACAGGACAGACTCATTAGCTAGGAATGAGTTTACGACTCAAGAGTGTGTAGGCGGAAGCCGGCTAGGAGAGTTGGCATTTAAAGACACTCAACATTGCATAAAGGCACATATAATTGATTTAGGAAATATTTTGATATTTGTAACTTCATGCGGTTTGCAAAGTCAACTCAGTATAACTACTTTCCAGTGGTTCAGTTTGTAGTATTGTTCTTTCTCAGACAAAGCAGACTTAAAAAGAAAGAAAGGGAGGATAAAAATGCATGGTGGAGTCAAGGAATTTGAACTTTTTTCTTATTTATTATCTGATTAGTCCTCAGCAGATGTTGGTATGTGGGCTTTTCCTGTCTTTTAATTTATTTTAAATGAGCTAGTGAATTTAGATGAATAGAAGGGAGTACAAATGTGGGGAACAATCAGCTAGTCATAGCTAACACAGGTTCCATCTTACCGGGTGGTTGGCTGTTAGAAAACTAAGTTCCCGATGGAAATGCAGATGTTGACTAGTTGGTGGTACGGCTGTGATTTAAAAATTATTTTTGGTAGATTAAAAGGGAGAAGTTTATCTACCATTTTTCTTTTCTTCCAGTTCTTTTTCCACTTAGAAAATCTTTTGAGAGAGTGTACTAATTAGAAGTAAGATATATACCCAAAACCAAAAAAACCCAAACCTGTTGCTGTTGAGTCAATTGTGACTCATAGCAACCCTATAGTTTAAACTAAAAAGATTGTCAATGAGTTTGACTCCCTATGGGCTCCTGTCCAAGGCACACTTACCTGCTGAACAGGAACAGATAAGGGCTGAATCACAGCTGTGGTCACTCCTGTCTTTGGAGATGATGATCCTATTGTTAGGGAAACGGAAGTTGTTTTCTTTTGAGCTCTGGAAAGTAAGGAGAAAATTGTTCAGTCAGATTTTTTAGCAGGAATTGTTCTTTGAAAACATTTCTACGGAAATAGCTCAGTTTCTTTTTATCAAGCCATTTCAACTCTGTGTGCTTCAGAAATGGGAAGCCATACACAGTTAGAATAGCAGCGGTCAGTATATGTACCTTATAAATATTTAACAAAACAAACATCTGGATAAAAGAAAAACAGCTATAGGTAACTCAGACATCGTCAAGAACCTAATGGATTAAACTTGAAAATTCTAAGAAAAAAGAAAAACCCAATCTTTATCAGTAAGCAAATATTTGCAATCTTTAGGGTTAGGGTCTTATATTTGACTCAAAGTTTTGGTTGTCTAGTTGAAGTCCTGCAACTGTTTCTTGCTGTTTCAAATTTTGGTTAAGTTGTGAGTATCTTGGAAATTTTGTCTTTCTTAGTATATCGAGGTTTGTGAGGAATAAGGAAAGGATTGGGGAGAGCTGGTTCCCGGGTCCAGCTTTGCCAAAAGTAGCCGGAGGTACAATCTCAAGTGAGACAGGAAACCTCCTTAAACTGGAGTTCCTTATCTGAAATCAGAGGTGGTAGACCAGATGATCTTAGAAGGTCTCTTTCACATCAATAGTCCAGCATTCTTTGATGCTGAATGGGTAGAATTGTTATGTATATGTTAGCAGCTCAAAGGAATTTATTAAACAATATTAATGGAGTTTTCTGCAAATTTCCAATAGATTTTCTTTTATTTCTACAAAATAACTAGGATATTAACATTTTACTAATAATACATATGTCTTTGAAGGAAGAACTAAATTTTTTGATTTTCTCATACAAAGTCTAATTAGAGATAGACTTTATCCAGATGAAAACGTATTTCTGGCCTAATTAGATATTTTTCACTTTGTGTCAGAAAATTGGTCCTCATTCACATTTTAGTAAAGATTTAACTGATTATATTCTCAACATAACTGTTCTTTTTATACATGTCCAACCGTGTCCAGTTGTCTCGGAAACTGACATCGTATAGGGTTAGATTTTGGCATATTAATGATGAAATGCAGACTTCGAATTTATAAGTGAAAATCGTGTTTCAACGTCAAATATTTGATTGACATCAGTTGACCTTTTCCTTCAAAGCTCAACATGCATGGCTGGCTCCACTCCCCACCAGCTCTGCTGAAGTTATTTGTAACAGAGGGAATCGACGGAGTTGTAGGCACTTACTGTGGCATAGCTCCAGGTTTTGATTTGAAAGCTAAACTTTCGCTGTCAGAATCTGATGAACTGGCACCTGGGGGAGCATTAAAGAGAGTAATAAAGGTAAGCTCTAAGTGGTATCTACCATCATTTCCAAGAGTAATGTTCTTCGTTTAAAAAAAAAAACAATAACAACATACGAAGTCTTATTTTTGATCTAAGTACCCATGAAATGGAGAATGGTCAAGGCGTTTTTAGGCGGACTGTGTTTTCAGAAAATTGTTTAGAAGAACTATTATAAAACGCTTTCTTCAAAGCAGTATGTTTTCAACGCCGGATTTATCATTACTTTAATTTCATATCACTTTGGCCATAGGCTATTTCACAACTGACTTCTGAATGGCTTATAGACTATTTATGAAATGAATATAAATGTGTGGGTACGTGAGAAAAAAACACTCACGTTTGTAAATTGTACCCTTTCTCAGGAGACCACCTGCTGGGAATTACAGTTTTCATTCCTCACTAATCAGAAGGTGCTTTCTGACTCTTGGATAAACTAGGATATAACAAGAGCTTCATTCCGGAATAAGACGCCTCTGATTTTGGATCATGCCCTTCCAAATTCATTTGCATCATGACTATTCCTGAATTAAAGGTCACCTTATCCGATTTTTAGATCCCTGGGTGGCACAACAGCTTGTGCTCAACTACCTACCTAAAGGTTGGTGGTTCAAACCCACCTGGCGGCACTGCAGAAGAAAGGCCTGGCAATCTGCTTCATAAAGATTACAGCCAAGAAAATCCAGTGGAGCTAGGTTCTATTCTGTAACACATGGGGTCGCCGTGAGTTGGAATCAACTCGATGGCTAACCGGTTTGGGTTTGGTTTATCAGATTTTTAGTCAAAATGTAAAGTGCACTCAGGTTTCAGCGTTAATGTGTTTTGTGTCAAGAAATTTAAGTGACATATTTAACTGTAATGGTTACAAGTATATCGTTGGTGTTTCTTTTAAGAGATATATTTAACTTGGGGTACTTAAATGATCTATTTAAAAATCTTTTAGTATAAACTGATACAGGTAATCCTTGATTTATAACGGGGTTCTGTTCCAACGTCTCTGTCATAAGTCCGTTCTGATGTAAGTTAAATACCTCATTTTTTTTTTAAGTTTTCATTATTACTGCCTTTTATTATCAGTACTTTATAAATCTGATCTTTATTTGTCTTTAGGGGTTGGAAACATTACCTATAAGCTCACAGATACGATATTAGCAAATTACACACTGCAATACTGTATGTTTTACCTGTTACTAATGATAAAATGTACCAGCAAAAAACAGACAGTCTTAAGTGTGGTTCATTGTAACTTGAATAAGTCGGGGACTGTCTGTACGCTTTTATAGGAAAATAATCAAATAATACAGACTTATGTGACATAATAGTAAAAAGCAGGGGTACCCCCACAAGTACAGTTTTGCACGTGCTGTCTGGTGTGTATTTCTCTGATAAGATTAATACATCAACATACATACATTTACGCACATATTTATACAAATCACACTATATGTCCTCTTCACAATTCGTTATTTCTGCCTATCAATACACTTTGAACATTTACATTTATTTAATTCTCTTGAATGGCTGCCCAGTGTTTCTTTCTTGGACTGGGCTGTAATATTCTCTTCCAGTCTTTTATTGATGTTGAAACAGTCACGTTGGAATGTTTGCTGTCCCTTTCTAGTCATTTCTCTAACTACACCCTAGTGCAGCCTTTCTTCACTTAGTTCCTGGACAAACACAGTAGATTCTTATCTTATCTCCCCAGCTCTTTTCTCTCCTGCCTCTCCCTCTACCTCTCTTTAGCTCATCTTCAACCTGTGTCACATTAATTTTCCTATAGTCTATCTTGCCTTTTCAAAAACATTAGATGATCTTACGGATTCTACTCAGTAAACTAAACATCTCAAAATTTGACGTTCAATGGTCTTCAGGATCTTCAACGTGATTTTCTAGCTCTGTCTTCCAGAACTTCTCCTTCCACATCATATTACCCTAATTCAAAGAGCTGTGCATACACACTGGTATATGTAACTAATAGATATGTGTACATATATATCTGACATACATATCTGATACACACACATATATAGACATATATGCAAAATTCATTCATTCATCCTTCCTTTAACACCTATTTATTGAGTACGTATGCTATGTTGGGCATTGTGCTAGGGGATACAGCAGTGAAGAAGACAAATACACGGAATCACACACACATCCCTGCCCTTGTAGAGTTTACGGTCCTACAAGGAGACAGACAGTAGACAAGATAAATACAAGATGGTGGTGAGTACAGTGGGAAAAATACACAGCAAGCCAGGGGCATAGAGCATGATGGGAAACCGACTCTACGTAGTGTGGAAGGGTGCGCCTTACTGAAATCAAAGACCCAGAGGAGATGAGGGCTTTCTCTTCTTGGCTTCTTTCCATATTTATACATTTATTCGTTTCACTCACTCTTCCAGGAAACTCCTCGACAGTCTTTTCTTGATATTCTCCATTTGAAGATCATCCCCGCCAGTTTTCTAGTCTCGCTCTTCTCTGGACTTCTGATATTCTTGTGTTTTGAAAACTGAGGTGGGGTTTGGCAGGGAACTACCATTTTTTGAGAATTTACAATTTGCCTAGTCATCTGGTAGGCACTTTATATTATTTCATTAATTATCATCTTAATAATTATACAGTAATCAAATAATATATTTGATTATAAATATAATCATTATAATATATTAAGTATACCAAACCCTTAAAACCAAACCCGTTGCTGTTGAGTTAATTCCAACTCATCACGACCCTATAGGACAGAGTGGAACTGCCCCACAGGGTTTCCAAAGAGCAGCTGGTGGATTCCAACTGCTGACCTTTTAGTTAGCAGCTATAGCTCTTAACCACTGCACCATCAAGGCTCCATATTAAACATAATGGTAGTATAATTTATCCATTTATATATTAAATAAGAAGTGGGTGCGTCCCACTTTATAGATAAGGAAATTGAGGAATAAGAGGTTAAGTAATTTGTATAAGGTCACAAAACTAGAAAGCAGTGGGGAAAGGATTTGCCCTCATGTTTTCTGAACTTGTGGTCCATGACCTGTCCCCATACCCTGTGACCTCCATGTGCTGGGCATCTCTGTGTTGTTCAGAGTGCCTTGCGCCATGCCTTCCTCCTCGCAAGCCCTTAACTTCTGGTAGCATGAATGAATGAGTGGGAGTAGGGAACACATGGCCTGTTTGGGAACAGGGAGGGAGCCATGCAATTAGCCAAGAGTGTGCTGGAGGAAGAAGTGGAAGGCTAGTCTAGAAGCACAGGGCGTGGTCTGGAACACAGGGCTACAGTGTTGGGACTTTACTGACTAGGCACTGAGGGTGGTGACCTGGGAACATTGATAGCACAGGATTAACTGGGAAAAAGAAGAAAAACAGCAAAGTGAGCAACAAACAATCAAAGACAGGTAATAGATCAAGAGAAAGTTTTAATTGTGATGAGGTCGGAGCTGTTGAGCAGGGAAAACCCAATAGACTCGGTTATCAGAAAGTCAGGGGTAACCTGAGAGACCTATTTGGCTAGAATCATAAAGGTGGTTAGGGGAAGTGATGGGGGTGGGGGGCGTGCCAAAGACACTTTCAAGGTGGCCAGAAATCGGGAAGGAAAGCAGCTTTCTTATCTGATTTCAAACATTTCAATCATTCTTAAAAATCCCCTCTGATTACTTCTACTTAAAAAGCTATTCTGGCTACTTTTTTTCCAGCTGATTTACACAGAAATGTAAAGGGCCAAAAAGGTTTGTGTGCCCCTGAACAATAATTCATTTATTGGTTTCTGCATACCTGTCCACCCCATGTGACATCTCAACATCACCTTATGTCTCAGATGTCAGCGCAGCATTTGCAGATGGCGGCAGATCAGCTCTCTTGCTCTGTGCCAGCAAGTTCCCTTCCTTCCCCGCAGGGCAGTTCTTCCCACCATCTCCCATCCCGCCTCCTCCCTGTAGTCACCTGCTCTGCAGGAAAAACGCACCCATGCCAGCTCATCGTTTTCTTACCAAACCATCCCTTTCAGCTTCTGATGTAAGCTTCAATCTGAGAGAGGGACTCGTTCCAGTCTTTGCAATTCCTATCTGTCTATGTGCTCATTTAATATTTCACCTGTCTAAATATTAACTCTGTCCTATAGGAAACCCTGGTGGCACAGTGGTTAATAGCTACGGCTGCTAACCAGAAGGTCGGTAGTTTGAACCCACCAGGTGCTCCTTGGAAACACTATGGAGCAGTTCTACTCTGTGCTACAGGGTCGCTATGAGTTGGAATCGACTTGACAGCAATGGGTTTGGTTTCTTTTTTTTTTTTTAGCTTTATAAGTTTGTTACGAGTGAGAAATGACTCCACGGCACCTAACAACAACCGTAAATGTTAACCGGGAGCCCTGGTGGCGCAGTGGTTAATAGCTCAGCTGCTAACCAAAAAGTCAGCAGTTCGAGTCCACCCGCTGCTCCTTGGAAACCCTGTGGGGGCAGTTCTACTTTGTCCTATAGAGTCGCTATGAGTTGGAATCGACTCGACAGCAATGGGTTTGGTTTGGGTTTCTGGAAACATTAACTGGGGGAGCTCTGATGGCATGGTGGTTAAAGCAATCGGCTGCTAACCGAAAGGTCAGCGGTTTGAAACCACCAGCTGCTCTGAGGGACAAAGATGTGGCAGTCTGCTTCCTGTGGGCTCACTGTGAGTTGGTTTTTTGGTTTTAAATGTTAACTACTTCTGTGTTGCCCCCAAACAGAGTGAAGGAACCATACGCTGATGATCTTTGCTTCCCTCTCTGACGACGGAGTAGCAGGGCAAGGGCCACAAAAATGAGCCTCTGTCCTGATTTTCTGAGGTGTTCCCTTTCCATTTGGAAAACGTACACACTTTAATACTTTTCTCAGTTCCTTACACAACATAAACACTTCCTTGTAGAAAAGAAAAGAAACAGGAAATACACAAAAACAAAAATTAAAGAAAAAAATCATTCGGAATGTGTATTTAAAAATATAA